AATTAGGGAGATCGCCAAAATCAGGTATAATATAAGGTTTTTCGGACATAACTACTTTCTGTATCTTTTGAGTATCAGGATTTAAAACGGTGTGGCTTCTCCAGCCCATATAACCCACAATCCTTTTACCTACTGGAAATTCTGGATGCTTCGATTCGATAATTTTTGCTACCTGAGAGCCAATCATTGTACGACCGAGGGGTAAACGAAGAGTGTAGACACGCATATACGGATCTACCGAAAGATACTCTGCCTGAACCAGAATTTCTGAAAAATATAATAACAGAAAGTATAAATTTCATATGTTAGTCAATAACGATTTATCAGGAATTGTTCATTTTATGTGTGTGTGTGTGTGTGGGCGTGCGCGCGCGCGCGTGTGTGTGGGCGTGTGTGTACGAGAGTTTAAGGTTTTTCTTTTTGTCGTGTAGTTTGAAAAACATAATTAATATCAATATATATATATATATATATATATGTACATATGATATCTTGTGAATATTTTTCAATACGTAAAATATGCAAACTTCTTTCCAATTTTTTACATTTACTGTGTATAAAGTCATTTTGTAAAAAAAATATTATCTTCAATTCTATATTTCTTAATTCCAATACTTTCATTAATATCAAATTACATAATACCGAACAAACTAAATATTTACATGGAATACAAAATACGTTTTATTTCAAATAGGAATATCAGTTATAATTCATAGATTGTTTTATCTTTTTGTATTTTTTCGTATTTTTTGCTTATAATATTATTACGAGTTCGCGAAGAAATATAACAGACAAAAGAATCAGCTAAATAAGATAGTTTATTAAATTTATATAAATAATTTGAAAAATTTTCTATAATAATTGCAACTTAACCTTAACTGTAATGCAGGTTACTATATCAAAGCTTAATTATTTAAAAAAATGTAATTATTTTTATGAAAGAAAATATTATAAAATAATAATTTATAAATGCTTCAATTAATATTTTAATTTTTTTTTCAATTAGGATAATACATTATTATTTAATTGAATTAAATGTATATTATTCATAATAATTTCTATTGGTAATTTATAATTGTTTTAGATTCTATTATTTACAATTTAACATTTATATAAATTTAGGAAATTTACTAATCGAAGTTATTATAAACATTATAAAATGCATTAAAGTACATGCACACATACATACACATGCATGCATACCCATATTTATATATATATATATATATATATATATATATATGCACAGAAATGCGCATGCACGTGTCTCTCCCCCATACTCAATCCTTTTCATCGAACTACCTTCACTGTGTATATTTTTGCTTTTATGATTGAAAAAACTGTTTTACGAGGTAAAATTACTAAAATGAATACTTATATTTAATGTAAATGCAAATGTAATTTAAAAATTATAAATAATTAATACACACCTCCATCTTTGATAGCAGGTAATTCTTCATCAACAAGTTTTATATCTGTCGGATTTGGCTCTCCAGTAAAATATTTACACAATATATACTTTTTCGCGATATTCGAAATTGTTGTTAATGTTCGGCAATGTTGTAATTGTTTGTGGTTGATAAAAGATTGCCGATGAGAAAATATTACGAATGATTTTCTGATAATATAAACCATTTTAGTGTATTTATTGTTAATATAATTGGATGATAATACGATATTGTAATTTGTAGTATTCTACAGTACTTCAGTTTCATTAATCATGATGAATAAAAGTCATTGAGTGTGGATGCTCTCTAATGCCTAAGTAATATTAAAAATACAAAGTGTAATATGTTATAATCTGGTAGTAATGACTTTTCTCAGCGATTATAGCTCAGTTAATAATGTCGTGACAGAAATACATAGAAAATTTAAGAAAGTAATGTCGGAATCTCTGATACTTTTACAGTGTACCACCAGAGTGCGCAAGGAATTCTAAGAAATATATTCATAACAGATGATCAAGACTGTTTTTTAAATTTTGAGAAATTTTTCGTTCACTTTGAGTAATGAGACCTAATAATTAAATTGTCTGCAAAAGAAATTATGTCTATTTTATAATTTAAATGATAATTATGATTGTGCATTAGAAGAATTAAGTTTTCGTATAAAATTACAAAAAAAAAAAAAAAAAAAATTTATCGAGTTTTCGATAATGTTCGGAAATATTGTAAATTAATAATTATCGGTTACCTTAATTCTAATTCATACTTTATTTGCCAAAATAAACTGCCAATACATTATATGTACATAGTGCATTGAAACCTATAACACGTATAATATATAAAAACGAGTCGCCTCAAGAAAAATCTAATGTTAGCATGAAAAGTGCAGAGTGATAATGGAGCGATATTTTCTTAGTTTTTGGTTTTTCAGACTTTAAATATGCATGAATTTCGAAACACTTTCATTATTCCATTTAATTCATAAAAATGACATTTCAGTAAATTTAATGTAACGAATTCTTTTTAATTCATCATTCGAGATTTTTAATATAATAAATTTCTTTAAAGTATACCACTTAACATTTTTGAACATTTATTTGCCACTGCAAATTTTATGCATCATTCATTTTAGATTCACTAATGAATGGATTTACATATTCAAGAGAAATCATATCTGTGAAGAATACAGTTCAATCATAATAAGTCATACATATGGCATTTTAAGAGATATCGCCATTACCATTACTTTTATAAAATTGGTAAAATTCGAGTATGAGCGATACCTATGAGTGTTACCTTCCGATAAATGCAATTTACCTAAATTGTAGTGTCGTGAAAAATTATAAACACGTTTAGAATCTTTGATTTTTTTTTTAATTACCATAAAACTTACTATCGTCGTAATAAGTATAATCTTTATTTATAAAGTAAATAGTTATCAAGTTTAAGCTAAGCTTTAGCGTTTAAAGCTTTCTGCCTATAATTCAACGCAAACGCAATGTCGTATATTATAGAAATCATTATGCATTTGTATAATCGAAAGCATATAAAAGCTTGAAGCAAAGAACGTGCTTGCACAAAACATAAAACAGTGTATTAAATGATTAGAATTCAATTAAATTTAAGCTATTTTCCCACACACGATACTTATAAAGCATAAGGATTTATTTATATGTATTTGATGTTGATTATTCAAATGTATTTAAAAAATAATTCGTAACGTGAATACATTACCTATTAATTTGTCCATTGTGCAAGTTTCCTTTGTAGCTAAATATACGACATTTGAAAAATTACGTATCAAATTATTATGTGTTGGATTCATCGAAGGTAAGAAAAGAATTGCATAACAGTTAAAAGAGATGGAACATTAATTTGCAACTTTTTATTAATATTAATTTAATGCCTTATGCTGCATGAAATGTCAGCGATTACGATGTAAACACTCTACATTCGTGTTGGTGCATATTTTATTAAGTGGTCATAAAAATGCGTATCGATATAAATTCGCGATCTAATCCTCGGTTGTCCCGTTAATTTTCGTTTCGTGGTGCCCGTGAGTGGAATAGAATAAAGTAACGTCACATAGCCGTAACTTGATCCTGACCGTCAGAATTCCTCTTGCCCCAATCATCATTACCCACACTTTCGTTTAAATCCTCTCACTTACAGAAGATACGAGTTTCGTGTTTTCATTCATTCTATGTTCACCTCGACCGTCGACGACGTGCTCCTCTTGATCGGGGGGGGGGGGGGGGGGGGCCGGGTCGGGCTTGGAGGTTAATAGCTCGCGGGTTCAGAACACCTTGTCCGGGCACCAAGTTTAGGGTAATTTTCGAAGTCTACGCGCGCATATTGTTCCGCGCACGCACCACTCTCATTCAACTTCTGTCTATATGTGCAAACACACACAGCCATAAAACGCGCGTGCGCGCGCGCGCATATGCACATACACAGAGAGTATATATATATATATATATATATATATATATATATATATAAATAAACAAATTTATATAGAGGTGTGTATGGTACGTTGGTTATCCGTACCTATAAATACATATATATATACATATATATAGGAGCGTGCGTGCGTTTCTATGTTGCGCGCGCGCGCGCGCGTATATATCAGCCGACGACGATGACAATGGCAAGAACGGTGATCAGGACGTCGTAGTTCGTCGTGGTTGAGCGAAAGCGGAAAAAAGGGATCGAAAAGATAAATAATACGTATACGAATTCACTCTTCCTCTTGGCATCCGCGCTGCTACGTTCTTCCCCTTCTTCCACGGTTGCGAAGAAAAGGGGGATACTCTGTGCACATAATAATCAAACGTGGATGGCGATAAGGCGACGACGACGAGCACGACCGGCGGGCACTGGCAAATGCGCGACCTACTGTAGACGTCCTCGTCGTCGTAACTGCAGTTGAGGTCGCGAGTCGTACACTGAAGGATATAAGTGTACATACGAGGTGCGAGACGTGCGACGTCGTTGCTGAACGTGGAAGAACATCATCCTCATCACCATTTAAAATGTCAGACGTTGACCAGTGGATCGAAATCGCCAAGGAATGCAAGTACCTGCCGGAAAATGATCTAAAGGTCGGTAGATGGGTTTGCGGATTTTTGATTCATAGGTTAATTGCTTTCTTTTTGATGAGCTAACGATCTGATACATTGTTTTACTCTTTTTCCCATGCCGACAGAAACTCTGCGACCTGGTATGTGATATTTTGCTGGAGGAATCAAATATTCAACCTGTTTCGACTCCGGTGACCGTTTGCGGTGATATCCACGGCCAGGTGCCAATTTACAATATTCTAACCTCAAATATATCTAGCTTTTCTTGGAAATATTTTTTTTTTCGCGCCCGTACCACTATTATGCACTTTTAGTTTAGTCATTGCGAAACACACATGCACGTCTATGTTAAAGCTTTGTTAACGAGAATAGAACGTATATTTTAATCGCTTTGTTTTTGCCTCTTGGTCACTTTCTTCTGTTACATGGAATGAATACAACAACCGATATTTTTAATTTACCTAGCTGTTTGTATATAAAATCATAGTAACAAGCTCTAAAGTAAAATGATCCTGGAGTCTTATTTTTGCCAAGTAATGACTTGATTCTTTACATTTTATGTAACTACGTAGACACTGTGTCATTATCTCAACTTTATGAAGGTATATACGATCTTGTAACATTTAAGTTATTCAATATTCAATATGCTTTGCATTTAATTTATTCTCTTTATTTCTTCATAATTAATTTCTTTTAGGTTTAGTTCTCCAAGGCAATATTTATTATCTACTTTCATATGAATTTTTAATAATTTAAAAATAGACTTATTCAAAAAATATATTAATAGTAAAATATATTTGGTAATCTAAAATCTTTAATATTATTGTTTGTCACTCGATAGAATACTATTTCTTAAACATGCAATTCTTAATAATACAAATTCATTCATTTGTGATAAAAATTAATTGATTTAATCGCTTCTTTAAACTTGCTTCATATCTATTTTTAAGATGAATTTTAAAATAGTATTCATTTTTCATTATTATTATTTTATAGTTTTACGATTTAGAAGAGCTTTTTCGTAATGGAGGACCTGTGCCTGATACAAATTACATATTTATGGGAGATTTTGTGGATCGAGGTTATTATAGCTTAGAAACACTAACTCGTCTTTTAACTTTAAAAGCCAAATGGTCCGATAGGATAACACTACTTCGTGGAAATCATGAATCAAGACAAATCACACATGTATATGGTTTTTATGGTATGGATTATTATTATTATTATTATTATTATTATTATTATTATTATTATTATTATTATCATTATTATTATTATTATTTTAAATCTTATTTCTATTATGCATTATGGGTTATATATTCTCTAAAAAATATTTAATAGTATGTATTTGCATGATATTATTTAAAGTTATTAAAATCATTTTAAATGATTTTTTTAGACGAGTGCTTTAACAAATATGGCAATGCAAATCCATGGAGGAATTGCTGCAGGGTATTTGATTTGCTCACTATTGCTGCCGTATGTATTAAAATTATATTATAATTTATTTGAGCAGGATGGTATAGTAGTGATTTAATTTACAGTTAGTTGACGAAGAAATTCTTTGCGTACATGGCGGGTTATCACCAGCTATTAGAACTTTAGATCAAATTAGGACAATTGATAGGAAAAAAGAAATACCACATACGGGTAAGTTAGCATGCCCATAAGTTAATATTTACAGAACAGTTGATTGCATTATAGTTAAAAGAGCAATATTTGAAATGGCAAATTCTCAACATTAAACATGCATAAAATTTTCTATATTTCTCTTGAATGTTGCATAAATTTTTTTTTAATAAACCATCTTTTGTAAAGTGAATCAAATAAAATAAATAAAGCATTGATAATTAGGAACTTATTTACTCGTTCCGTTTACTAAAAAATTCCTTTCTCATTACATTATAGTAGTACTTGTAATATAATGTTAATAATTTAATTAAGTAGTTTAAAGAAAGAAATAGTATTTCTTGTTAAAATTAAAGCAGATAAATAGAATCTAATAGGGATAAATTTAATTGTTTAATATAATTCAAATAAATAAACAAATTTGTGTGTTCATGCATGCATGTGCGTTGTAAATTAATTAATAATATAGCTAATTATTTTATAATGAAATGAAACAAAGTGACGATATTTTGTAGAATATAGTCATAATTGAAAAATCGGTATCTTTAAGCAAAACTGGTTATAAGTGTGAAATAATACATTAAATATTTAATTCATTCAACAGGAGCATTCTGTGATTTAGTTTGGTCAGATCCAGATGATGTTCAAACCTGGACAATGAGCCCTAGAGGGGCTGGTTGGTTATTTGGGGCGAATATAACACATTTATTTATGGATATTAACGATCTTAAACTTATTTGTAGAGCTCATCAATTAGTAAATGAAGGTAATAATTTTATCATTAATTAAATATAATAGATTTTTAAAAAGTCAAATTACTGTATTTTTTAAAAGTTATGTAATGATTATTCATAATTTTATCAACTTAATATATAATAATAATATTAACTTAAATCATTCAATAGTGTTTAACGAATAACAAATAGTAACACTTATTCGTAACATTAATGATACTTAATATAATTTGATTATAAGTATTCAATGATATATCTTGCTATACGTAAATAAATAAATTTATGACAATGTATGTTTGTATTATTTTAATTAATTTTAAATTAATCTGCAGCTGTTATATTTAAAATTGGAAATGAATTTTATAAAAAATTTTCGTTCAAAGTGATAATATTTAATATTGCTTATTAAAAAAACACATTCATTTTAATTTTTTCCATTAGGTTATAGGTTTATGTTCGACGAAAAATTAGTAACGATATGGTCGGCTCCCAACTATTGTTATCGCTGTGGCAACGTCGCCAGTATATTTCAATTCACCACGGCTGACAAGCATTCCGCGGTGATATTTAACGCGGTGCCAAATTCCGAGAGAGTGATTCCTCCTACGTTTACCACTCCCTATTTCTTGTGATTTATCTCTCTACTCCAGACTGGCGGAGGAAGATGGCGAGTGTACAGATTATCGTCCACGAAACTTCAGGAGAAGTAAAATCGAGAGAATTAACCACACATCCTGTGATTTTAATTTTTCTCTGTCTGGTATTTGTTTTCTTTTCTGAATGCTAACGGGAGCATTAAAAAAGGCAGATAAAGCATTACCCTTTTGAGCACATCGACATTTTGTAAAATTTTTAAAAAGAGCTTTACAAGGTTTTTATAACAGAGAAAGGGTTTTAAAGGAATAGTGAGAACTGTGAGTTGAAACAACGTACAGCCTTCATACTTCTTCGATGCAAAGGATAAAATTGTGCTTTGCCGTTAGCTTTTATTGTTCTTTACTACGTAAGAATTGTGCGGAACACCCGCGCGCTTAGGAGAGATAGCAGTACATGTGCTTCACTTTCCTTGAGCTTTATGAGCTTTTATTGAGATTTAAGAAGAGAAAAAAAACTCGACAACGGATGATATTCTGATCGAGCAGGTTACAATAAAGAATTTTATTTAAACATTCCGAAAAAGAGGCTCTGGGTTAAGATGAATGCTTTTTTGCTATGTCAATCGTCAATGGTGTGGAATTCAGGTTTAGCACTTAATAAGCATACAAATAGTATCGATAAGGTCTTCCTGATAAACAGAATGTGAAAGTCCATTTTTTTTTTGTATCATGCGCAAAAATATAAGCCCTTGCGAACATAATTATGAAAAAAAGATGAGATGTGTCGAGTTATTGGTTTTCCAATGCATTTGATTTCCACTATAAAAGTATTATTGTTCATAAATGATATACGTTATAAAAGAAAACGTTTACTTAAACGTTTCTTTCTTCAGAATAAATCTATTTTGTTATTGGTCGTTTCGTCAAATACGTAACAAGGTTATTGCGTGCCGATATCATTTAATAGGTTTAGCATTAATAACATATATACAATTTGTTGTAAAAAATAGTAACAAGTATCTGGGAAAATGTATTGGTATTCCAATATTTCAACGGTAGTTTTAATATTTCACCTATGTTTTAATTGTAATACTTGTTTTATGCGAGCAAGTACATACTTTCGATAGAGAAAGTTGTTTGAGTAGTATTCTCAATCAAGAGAGTCTTGCTCTATGTGTTCGATAGCTCATAGCAGTAGCCAAAGTTCTCAGTAGGTAGTTGAATATGCGTATTTTATATAATTTTACCAGGTATTTTTACGCAAAAATATATAATCAATTGTTAAATAACACTGTGGTATATTTCCTTGTTTTGTTATTGAATTTTGATGAAACGAAAGGAATGAATTATTGATGGTCATTAGGAGTAATTATGTCAAAATATATTTACATTTGCTGACGAAGTTTTCCCATTTAAATCTTAATTGGATTTTGCAATAATATTTATAGAAAAAGTATTCCAAAATACGAGTTATAGTGATTTCAATAAAACTACTATTTGAAAAATTAAGGTTTAAATCGGAAAAATTTGTTTTGTCAACAAGAAAATGTCGTATGCAAGAACTTGCAAATATAAGACGGATGTAAGCTATCGAAATATGGTTTCTTCTTTACACTCTACATATTTATTGTTTTTATTGTTATATATATATATATATATATTTTTTTTTTTTTTGCATACCAATTAAGATAAAATCATAAAGTAAACGTTCTGACAGTACAAATTAAATATTTGAAAAAACTTAGTTAAATGAGTTAAATATTATTCAACATTATTGTATTAAAAGCAAACTTTAGTCTCTTCGTAATATTTGTAAAATTTATTTAGATTTTAATGTAGGTTATTCATAATATAATAATAACAATAATAATAATAATAATAATAATAATAATAATAATAATAATAATAATAGAAACGACAACAACAATTATTATTATTAGTATTATTATTATAGTTGTTATTGTTATTATTATTATTATTATTATTATTATTATTATTATTATTATTATTATTATTATTATTATTATTATTATTATTTAGTTAAATGATATATATATATTTTTACAATGTTATTTTAAAAGAGTACGTTGAATTAAATCAATCAGTATTGGCCATCTTAACTTTAACAGGAGTTTTTATTTCTATATTCTTAAAGTAACAGACGCTATTACAATAAATATATGATTTTTCATATTAACTTTTATAAATCACAATCACAATATTAAAAGTTTCCTAAGCATTTCATTTGTAAATGATCCATAAGACATATGAGAATTGAGATATTAACAAATCATTTTTCGGTAACTTATCCCCGTGATCCTTTAAATTAAAAATGCTCTGTTCCTATACGTACAATTAAAAAACAACAAACAAAAACAAAAACAAATAATAAAAAAAATGCATAGAAAAGACGAAAAATCAGCGGTATAACCAGTATAAAAAACATAAATGAAATAAAAATAATAAATACGAAATGGCCGAACTCTTGTCGTAGACGAAAACAATAAAAAATATATACTCTTTGTAGATAGCGTGTTCTTGTTGTTAGAAGAGCAAGCGTGTTTTTTGAAAACGAGAACCGTCACCTTTAGCAATGTGCCTCTAAATTAGTAAGCGTTCGTGTGTATGCATATATTAAATATAGTGAAGAGAAAATGTTTTAACGATAAGTAGCATGATAAAATGCACCTCTCGTGTATAATCGGAAG